AGAGAGAGAGAGAGAGAGAGAGAGAGAGAGAGAGAGAGAGAGATTGTCCAGATCTGCAATTTCATTAATGTTAGGAACTCTAGGGAGTAGAAACTCCTGTCACTAGTACGTTCTTCTGTAACCAAGAGTTTTGAAGAGTCATTTGAAAGCACTGAGAAATTAAGTAACTTGCCCATGTCCAAGTAATATGTATCAGAGACAGGACTTAAATCTAGGTCTTTCTGACTACAAGGTTGTCCCCATTGTCCCATGGCATTGTCTTTCTATATGCATATGTAATTTTGTATATCTTGTAATATATAGTACTTTGTTTATAATTAATAATTAATGTGACTTTTTTTCTTTCCTTTCTTTTTCAGACCATCCAGACCTCTCAAGTTACCAAAAAGGTAAAAACAAGCACCTTTTTACCCCTAAAGAAAATAAATTTTTTTTTTTGCTTAATCTTGTTCCTAAGGCTATAGCAATAGTCCTGAATCTCTGAAGGAATGGCCCTTTATATTTTGGCAAAATTAGCCATTTGCACTAGCTATAATCATCTTAATAATGCTAGAATACTACAATAATCTTAGTAACTATCACTTACATAGCACTCTAAGGTTTCCAAAGGTTTAATATACTGGATCTCATTTTATCTCCCTAGTCCTGTAAGGTAATTGCTATTATTATCTCAATTTTATAGATGAGGAAATTAAGGCAAACAGGTTTTTGTCAATAAACTAATAAGCACAGTAGGATCTTGTGATTTCTATGTCTTTCAATTAATCATATGATAGTTTAAAAAAATGGTCTCTTGTTGAAAATCTCTTGAGAAAGGCTGCCTTTCCTCTTCTAAATACCCTTATCAAGGATGTCTTTCTTATGTGCAGATTATTCTCTTTAAAATTTTCTGTAGATAGGAAAGTATGCAAATGGGTGGGTTGTTATTAATGTTCTATCAATTGCCTTTTTTAGATAATGGTAGAATCCCAGATTTTTCCCATACCTTTGTTTAAGGATCCCCCAAAGGACAACGAAGAAAAATAGAGTGGACCTGAGCAGTCTGGAAACTAATTATAAACAAGAGATTACTCCCAAGGAACATGTAAATTTTGTCATCAACAAATATATAATTGAAAAAGAAGTTAACTTGTGTCACAAAAGCGAGGGATGTACAATGCATAGATTGTGTGCCCTGTCAACATCCTTGTGATGTTGGAAGAATACAAGGAAGGCTTCTCGCATGTTGGGTGTACCCTCCCCTTCCTCTGTGGCAAACAAAGAGGAAGACGTGATGTGAGTCATACAGGATAAGATGCTGTCAGCGTCACTGGAGGGAATACCCATACTGATGAGATCCTAAATCCATTGGAGTTTTAGAGTATTAACAGATGGTTGATGTGAGGCACAGAGAAGTTAAATTGTTTACCCAAGATCACACAGTTAGTTGTGGCTTTAGGTGGCACAGTGGTTAGAGTGTTAGACCTTGGAGATGAAAGTCTTTACTGACAGTGACCTAGAACAATTAATTCACTTGAAACCCTCTAAATTTCCTTATTTGTAAAATAGAGGTAATAATAGCATCCAGGGTTTTTGTGAGCTTCAAATGAAATAATATATATATAAAGTGTTTTGCAAAACTTTTAGTGCTATATCAAAGCTATCTATCTTTTAAAATTATCATTGTTGTTATTATCATTAAGATTAGACCTAGGTCCATCAATTTTTATCCTAGTGCTCTTAATGATAAATGTTAAAAGTGATTCTGTAGATATTCAATGAAAAACACTGAGGTGTAAGGAGGTGATATGGCGTGTCTGGGGGTATTGAGTTAGTCTGAAAAAGAGCCAGAGAAATAACTCAGATCCTGGTTTATTGTTTTAGGTTTTAACCACTGGTGAACACCTCTACCTTGTCAAAGAATTGAGTCACTTTAAATGGATTCAAATGAAAGCATAGTAGTTACTTGACAACATACTCAAAAGCCTGTTATGAGTTCAAAGGGAAAGGAAATTTTTTGAATATTCAGCTATTTCAAACCAACAGTATACATCCTAGATATATGAACATTAATCAGTCAATAAATATTTATTAAGTTCTTCTATGTGCCAAAGCAATGTGTCAGGCTCTGATCATAATGAGTTTACATTCTAATTAGCAGGAGAAAGTTCTCAATTTAGGAAGAGTGGCCAAAAACATAGAGGCAGCTAAGGAGTAGGAAATAAGAATAGTACCTTTCAAGAAAGCACACAGTGCTGTTATTATGATACAGATAGTCCATTTTACATAGGCCTCCAGTAGATTCAGCATGGCATTAAATTATTAATTAATTTAATTATTATGAACTGTTATTAATTGAGCCAGTCCTTAAATTTAGAATGAGGGTGGTGGAGGAGGGAAGAGAGAGAGAGACAGAGAGAGGAAGAAGAAGGAGGAGGAGGAAGGAAGGAAGGAAGGAAAAGGGGAAGAAGAAAGAAGAAAAAGAAGGAAATTAGAAAAAGAAAAGGGAAGTATAACATGATAATATGGCCAAGGGACTAGTCCTTTTAAGAATTCCATTGATCCTATGGTTTACTTTTCAAACAGCAAAAGAATATTGTTCAAGTTCCTCATTATAACCCTGGATACCTAGGGAAAGGAACAGTTTTCTCAAGAGAGATCATAACAGAGGATTTATAGGTCATTTTAATTTTCTTAACTTTCCCAGTTTTCCTGCTTTAATTATTAGATTTTTGCCTTGATATTATACTCTTATCTAGACTTCATAGGATATTGTATGGGTAACAGGAGGAATAGAAATATATACAGGATTTTTACAATGTTTGGAAGAAGCAGCAAATTCCCTGAGTATGGCCTAAGGAAAGAATAAAATTGACTATTAGGATTGGTGTTCACCATGATAATATATCTGCTAAGGGAACTGATCCCATTCCTGAATTGTAACAGTTTCTCTAAGCAAGGTTAGTCCATGAAACATCTGCTGGATAAGGAAGTTAGATTGTCATTTAGCAAGGTTAAAAGAGTTCAGGAGAAATGTGCTGGAATCAGTAATAGTATAAAGTTTCCATTTGCAGTCAACACACGTCTATGGCATAGGCCTGGGCTGTCAAATCAAAACCAAATGTTTTCAAAGGGAAGAAAGACAATTCTCCAATGAAGTTCTCTTAAATGGCTGTGCTGAGGTGTGTGCCTTGCAGGAAACAGAACAAAACAAAATGATTATTTGAGCTAATTGAGTCATCATAGGGCAACTGAGCAGTTTGTGACCCTCAATTAAAAATAGATAGGTGACTCCTGCTTTGGTCAAAAGGGTAAAAAATTGAAAATTGATCCTTTGATAAAGTACAATCTATAATGGTTCAAGTCTAAGACAGTTTTCAGTTCCAAGGGCTTAGATTTTCAAAATGTCAGATGAGTGCATCCTGTGATGAGCGTGTGTATGTGTGTGTGAATGTGTATTCCAGTGAATTATATTGAAAGTAGTTAACCACAAGCTTTATGTCTTTCATTATCTGTTTAAAACAAAACCAAAAAAATCCTTGGCATCGGTAAAGAGTAAGAGTCTCAGAATGGGAAAGCCAAGCCCAGCTATTTAGACTAACAACTTCAAAACAAGTAACTGATCTTCGTTTGCATTTGGTGGATGAGGAAGTCAAATATGGAGAATTTCTGTGCGTGTTGGGTGTGTTGTAGTCATTTGAAAGCTGCTGACCATTTGGTATTTACATTTGAACAACCACAATCAGCAAATTTTGATTTATGTGCTTTCTTAAAAGCATTTGAGGAATTGTTTTCTGTATTTCATTTACCAGATTAGACAGGGCAGCTTTTCTGCAATGAGTGTGTGTGTATGTGTGTATTTGTATGTGTGTGTGGGGGGGGGTGTGTTCAGAACTTGCTTTCTGTGAATTATATTGGAGACAGTAAATTACAAACTTTATTTCTTTCATTTTCTGTTTAAAATTAACCCCCCCACCCCCCCAAAAAAATCATTGGTATTAGAGGTTTGAGGGAGAAGACCTTATGTGGATAAAGAACTAGGTGCTGGAGACGGCAGTGTAGTTAATGGGAAAAAACCCTATTGGACTCCAAGAACCAGAAGATTTCAGTTCTAACCCTGGCTCTGCTATTGACTTAAGCTCTGGGTCTGGCAAGTCATTTAACTTCTCTGATGCTTCAAGGGCAGTGCTCACTAAAATGCTCCTAACCCTAGCAGTCTAGAGTTCACATATTGATTGAGCTTTGTTATGCAAAGTCAGAGTCATAGTCTTACTACTGGAAGGGGCTTCAGAAACCACGTAGTCCAACTCTCTCCTTTTACTGAGGAGCAAACAGAAGCCTGGGAAGGTTAAGGGATTTACCCAAGGTCACCCAGGTAACAAATAACACAACTAACATTCCAACTGAGGTTCCCTCACTCCAGCCTTACCCTGCTGCCCTAATGCTTACATTTTATTTAATGGGAGAAAAGAGAGTTATATCTCCTCATTTCTTTAGGATGATTGCCATAGAACAATAGCTTTGGAAAATGTCTTTCAATCAGATTGGCTAACATGACAAAACAGGAAAAGGATAAATGTTGGAGAAGATGTGGGAAAATTAGAACACTAATGCATTGTTGGTGGAGTTCTGAACTGATCCAACCATTCTGGAGAAAAATTTGGAACTATGCAGAAAGGGCTATAAAACAGTGTATACCCTTTGACCCAGCAATACAATTTCTAGGACTATATCCCAAAGAGGTCATAAAAATGGGGAAAGGACCCACATGTACAAAAATATTTATAGCAGCTCTTTTTGTGGTGGCTAAGAATTGGAAATTGAGGGGATGCCCATCAGTTGGGGAATGGCTGAACAAGTTGTGGTATATGAATATAGTGGAATACTATTGTGCTATACGAAATGATGAGCAGGTGGACTTCAGAAAAACCTGGAAAGACTTGTATAGTCTGATGCTGAGTGAAGTGAGCAGAACCAGGAGAACATTGTACATAGTAACAGCCACATTGTGCAATGACTATCTTTCGTAGACTTCTCAGCAATGCAAGGATCTAAGACAACTCCAAAAGACTCATGATGGAAAATCTGTCCACATCCAGAGAAAGAACTGTGAAATCTGAATACAGATGGAAGCATATTATTTGATCTCTTTTTTTGTCTTGTTGTTTTGTTTTATTACTTGTTTCATATGGTTCCTTCCATTGGCTCTAATACTTCTTTACAACATGACTAATGTGAAAATTAAAAAGAAAAAAAAAAGACAACCAGTAGGAAAAAAAAAAGAAGAATGTCTTTGATATAAGTTTTGATTGTGAAGAGCTTTATACTTTAAAATAGAAATACTTTATATTTTAATTTCCTCATCTGAGGATGAAGCTTTGAGTGAGTGTCCTTATAAATTTAAAAGATATGAATATTTTAAAAAAAGTTATTTCTTCCTAGACACATAGAATAGCTTTTTCAGAACTGTATTCATAGTTGCCAGCGTGGTTTTGAAAAAGTAACTCATAATTATAATCACTAAATTTGTGAGCCAGCAGCCTATTTTCAAATGAGCCAGAAGTAGTCTTAAATCATAAAGTGGCTAAATAGTCTTAAATTATGAATTTCATTTTATGAACATTGAAGAGTAATGTTCTAAGACCAAAGTTTTCCTAATCAAGATTCAAGGAAGCTGCATCTGGCAGAAACGAGAGGGATTCTTAAAATCTTCTCTGTTAATTTAATTTTTTTGTTCCCTTTATTAAGTTAGATCCTCTCAAAGTTTCTCAGTCCTGGTGAAAGTGGAGAAAAGTCATGGGATCATTGGTTTTATAGTTGGAAGGGACTTCAGAGGCTTTCTAGTCCAGCACCCTCATTTTACAGAGGAAGAAACTGGGAGATTTGCCCAAAATTACACAGATAAGTAATAAGCAGCTGGGTCAGAATTCGAACCCAAATCCAGTGCTTTTTCCATCAAACCAGCTGGCCCCTATGTTAATTTCTGATTGTTAATATTGTTTTCCCTTGAGGCATACAGGTGGCATAGTAGATAGAGTGCTGGACTTAGAATCTAGAAGACCTGGGTTCAAATCCTATTCTTACTAGCTTTGTGACCCTTGGCATGTCACTTAACCTCCTCTAACATGGGGATAATGATGACAGCATTGTCATGAGAGGATTAAATGAGTTAACATCTATAAGGCACTTTGTTCACTTAAAAGCACTGTATAAATGCTGTCCACTGTTATTGTATATTCTGTGGTTTCTGTGGTATGTTATCTCTCCTCTAAAGATTTACAACTTATATGTCATTCCAAACAATTCTTTTGAGGATGTCTTCAGGCAGATGGCCTTCAAGAAGGCTGTGTCATGGGACAGCTAAGTAGTGCAGTGGATAGAGCACCCGCCCTGGACTCAGGAGGACCTGAGCTCCAATCCAGCCTCAGACACATGATACTTACTAGCTGTGGGACCCTGGGCAAGTTACTTAATCCCAGTTGTCTTCCCTGTCCTCTCCCCCATCCCCCCCCCAAAAGGCTATATTCACAATGTAGCCCACAATCTTTACAAGTAATAAAAATAAAATAGCTGCTGCCCAGGTTTTGAAAGATGGTCTTTTTCACAATCCAATAGAATATTAAGTTCTTTGAGGACAGGCATTGGTCATTTTTATCTTTACATCCCTAGGGCTAACATAGTGCTTGAAAAAGAAAAAGGGGAGGGGCAGCTAAGTGGCACAGTGGATAGAGTGCCAACACTGGAGTCAGGAGGACCTGAGTTCAAATCCAGCCTCAGACACATGATACTTACTAGCTGTGTGACCATAGGCAAGTCACTTAACCCAGATTGCCTCACTAAGAAAAAAAAAGAAAAAAGAAAAAGGGGGGAAAAAGGAAGTAGGAAGGACAAAAGCATATGAAAAAGGAAAATGATTTTGAAAATTGCTTAATAAAATACTATCCATAAATAGAAATTTAAATTCAACAAATGTTAAAGGCCTCATTATTTGTAAAATACTATAGAAGTTTAAAATCTAAATAAGCAGTCTTTGCCCTCAAGGACTTTACAATCTAATATTTGGGTGGTGCAGTGGATAGAGTACTGGCTTAGAATCAGGAAAACTCATCTTCCTGAATTCAGATCCAGACTCAGACACTTACTAGCTGTGGGACCTTGGGCAAGTCACTATTTGCCTCAGTTCCTCATTCGTTAGATGAACTGGAGAAGGAAAAAGCAAACTGCTCTGGTATCTTTGCCAAGAAAACCCAAAAATGGCATCACCGAGAGTTGGACACAACTGAAAAATGAAACAACAGTTTATTTGTATAAATACATATAACTAGTTGTTAATACTATCTGACCACCAGTATTTTTAGGTCCCAAATGTATACATAAAAGCACATTATTTTCTTATGAAGTAAGACCCTTTGATTTCTTGCTTCTAAAATCCCCTTTCTTCTGTCTTCTTGTAGTTACGCTGCCTTGATAGCTGACTGGCCTGTGGTGGTCCTGGGCCTGTGCACTGTGCTCATTGTGGTCTGTGCTCTGGTTGGAATATTGGTGCCTGATCTTCCTGACTTCTCTGACCCCTTGTTGGTAAGGAAAAAATGCCAATGCAGAACAATTGTGTGTGGTTCCCTTTCTTTGTCTATCATCAGGTCGAACAATGGAGACTTGACACATATTTAATATGCTTTCATCTAATCTCATCTCTAAAAAAGGCTGGGAAATGTTTTTCCTTTATTTATGAGTCTTAAGAGGCCAAGGAACTTTCATCACCACTAGAATTCAAGAGTTCCTGCTTCTTGGTGTCATGTTCCAGCCAAAAGGCCTCTTTTGTGTCATGTGTATAATAAATAGAGATTTTAGTGTTTTTTTTCCCCCTGCATTATATAAGAAACCTCACAGAGAATCAGAATGCTATCATAAAGTTTTTACAAACCCATTGAGGCATGGTGATTTCTTTTTCTTCTAAGAAAGCTATATCAATTTTAGTATGTATAGCAGATGGCAGTCAGTTTTTAAGTTAAAAGTTTCCTTATTTGGAGGAAGAGGAGAGATGTATACATTTAAACCAACAGGAAGTGATACAGAATACTGTAATATTTAATGACAAAAATTAATTATATTTCATTGTCATTCAGTTTATGCCAGGAATTAGTTTACTAAAGGATTTGTGAAGATTTAGAAAAATAAGCTCCTAATGAGTGAGTATGTTTCTCTTAAGGCATGCAAAAGATGCCCGGTAATCCTCAGATACTTGTCATAAAAATATAGTTGATCATTTTTCCATCAGGTCATTTTATTCTGTAAGGCATTTCACCTTCCCCAGTTGGTGTGAAGAGCGACTATGCCTTCTAATGAAAACTCTGTATCACTCTGACATGAAATTTCCCAAGATGTTATTAAAGCTATACTTAACCTGAAATGAAATACACTAATGAAGATTTATAATGTTTTGCCTTAAGGGTTTTGAACCAAGAGGGACTGCCATAGGCCAGAGACTGGTCACATGGAATAACATGGTGAAAAATACAGGATACAAAGCAACACTAGCAAATTATCCTTTTAAATATGCAGAGGAGCAAGTCAAAAGGTAATAGTTTCATGTCTCTGGTGACTTTCAGGCTACTAAAGGTAGCATTCCTTAAGGCCTTGCAAGTGGTGTGGTTTAATAGAAAGATCTCAGGAAGATTGGTTCTCTGGCTTTTTAGCCCTATGACCTTAGGCAAGTCACTTAACCTTTGGAGTCTCAGTTATCTGAGTTATATCTCAGTTATATAAAATGAGAACCATAATACTCTGCCTACCTCATAAGATTATTATGAGCAAAGCCTCTGAAAATGGTAAATTTCAGTTATTATTTAAAATGAATTGTAAAGGTAAAATGCTGTATAAATACAACTAATAATTATCATAAACCAAGGTTAATTTTGAAGTTTAGAGGCTTATTACTGTTTTTTGCTACAGTTTTATAAGCCTGATGTTGTAATTTAATATTTTCTCTTAGGATTTAATTTTTTTTTTTAAAGAAATGAGGCATTAAGATGCAGGTTGCTTTTTAAGTAGCCCTTCTGGTATTTAGTTTCCTGAGCCAGAAAAGGCCTTGACTTTTGAAGACCAATAATATTCTTCTGTTCCTCTCCATAATCTTTCAAAGCAAATTTCAAATAGATGTGGTTTATTTAAAGATAAAAGTTTTCGCTTCTATTTCAGCCATCGTGATGACAGATGGTCCGACAATCATTATGAAAGAGAAAAGAGACAAGCTGAATGGAATTTCCACAAAGACAGCTTTTTCTGTGATATTCCAAGTGAGTCTCATAGCGTATGAACAGTAAGCCCCTTGGCAGGTTCTTAGTTTTTAATTATGCCTGTGCTCATCAATCTTAGACTGATGTGAATGAGGGGTTAAACTGTCAAGGGCTGCCTCCCTATTCCTGTCATGCTTGGGGTGATTTTTAACTTAATTAACACTTCATATATCAGTATTTGAATAAGTCAGACTCTAGTTGATTAAAAATCTACCCAGTCATAGTAGCTGGCACATGGTAAGTGCTTGTTAATTGATTAATTGATCTCTCTAGGTAGACATAAATCTAATACAATTCTCTACCTTGTTGCCAGATATTCAGATATTTTTCAGTATTTAAAAAAATACCTGTTAATGTTTATTTAAAAGACTTTTCTTACGGATTTGTTTACTTAATATATTGTTTTGAATTCCAAAATAATCTACTTAATTTTCAGGAATACAGATTTTTTTTTCAAATTTTGTAGAATATCCTCAAGAATATATTAAGGATATATTGAATATATTTTATATAATGAACATATTACACAACCTTAAATAATCCAATATAAGGTTTTTACTTCCATTGCACCATCCCCGATAGGTGTGAAGACCAACTGTACCTTCCCTTCTGATCACTCTGACATCAGGTTTTGCAAGCATCCGTTGAGCAGAAAAAGAGAAAAGGAAGAAGAGAGGAGGAGAGAGAGAGAGAGACATGCACATATGTGTGTGCGTGTTACACACTTGAAGAAGTACCTGTATATATTCTTTTTTAAGTATACATAATTTCATCCTTATGGGTATTGCCCTAATTTATATCACAACCCATCAGAAATACCTTAGGAGATAGTCTTTATAAGTTGTTAGGACTGAAAAAGTTTATTGCTTGAGAGTCAGCCCTCCGGTAATGAGTCTTTCTGAACTTTACTATGGTGCTTCTTAAAGAATTGGACTGTACTTGAAGCCTTTGCATATTGATAGGTTCTCCCAGAATTTATAGTCTTTGATAACCCAGAACCACTTCCAACTATAATGAAACATCAGAGTAGGACCTTTTTTATATAGCACTATAATAAATGTGCACATATTTAATTAATTAACTGGGATGATTGCAAATGGAGTGTTTTGGTTCATGGAATTTTTTATAAATTGATATTTGACAATAAAACTTTTTATTCCTATATTTCTTTGAAATATTTCTAAAATGTATTTTTCCCCACTTTAGTATATCAGTATACTAAATCTCATGAAATCTTATATGTCTTTGTTATAGTTATAATTCTAAACTTTAGTTTTCATTATATGTGTATGTGTTTGAAGAGGTCAAAAAATTGCTTTGCCTATAAAAATATAAAGAAGAAAAAATGAATAAACTTGTCTCTTCCGTGTGAGGCTATTATTTGGTCATATGCCATATTTATAACTATATATAAATTATATATAGATATAATATTTTAGGTACGTAAAACAATTTAAACTGCAAAACTGGAGGTTAGTTATATACAATGATTACACATTTCTTTCAGTATATTCCAGTAAAGACATTTAAGGGAAGCAAGATATAAATATAGTATATATAACTGAATAATATCCTTATAATAGAGGAGTTTATATACATAAGTGTATATATTTTATGTATATATGTAAATATAGCATATAATGAAATAATATCTACCTATCTCCTATATATACCTATCTGTCTATGTATATGTATAGACACGTGTGTATATCTGTGTATATGTGTGTGAATATATATATGTATACAATGATTGGTACTCTCTACAAGATATACCCTAGAAGTTTATGTTCCTGATATTATCTTGGGGTTTTTTTGGCTTTTTTTTTTTTTTGGCCATTTCTTTCTTTCTCACAAAAGCAGAGTACCAAAAAAATTCACATTATTTAAAGGTTCCAGTTAGTTGTGTTTGTGCTAAAGGACAAATAATATCCTCATGAGGAAGAGACAAGTTCATTAGTTGTTGTCGTCTTTGTGCTTCTATAGTCAAAGCAATTTTTTAAACTTCTTAATTAACAAATTCTACTTGGATTATGGTTATTACTGCTCATAAATAAATTAAAATGTGTCTGAATTTATGTAGGTTTTATTCTCCTACCCTAAAGCTAAACTCAATATTTCATATATTAATAATACTTTGGATTCAAATGTGATTGCTGGCTTTTAGGTCCGCACTCTGACCTTTTGTTGCTGTTGTTAACAAGCATTTATTAAGTACCTTCTACACAACAGTCCCTGTGATGGGGTCTAGCTAGAGATACAAAGACAATGGTGCTACAGTTATGAAAATGAGTAATTTGTGAATTTGCTAATTGTTCTTCATTTTCCAGCTTATGTGAGTTGTCTTTATTTGATATAAAGTTGATGCCAATTACTTTATTTGGCTCTTACAAAAACCTGTGATATATTAATGAATGATAATATATCAATAAGATTTTACATTCATCTTATTAAAAATAAACTTTTCTATGTACTTAAACTGACCATTTTTCAATAGATTTTAAATCAGTTATCATTTTCCATTTAGAATCATGGGTGGGAATGTCCTTGTAATTTTTTCTTGATGTTCCCAAGTGTAACATCCTTTGATTTAATGCTCCATTACTATGTGATGCCATGAAATTAGAAAGAGAGCTTTCAATTAATTTCCATCTAAAAGTTCATACAGTTTTGCTACCTAATTGCAAAGAGATTAGAAATAGACTCTTTTTCCCCCCAAATTAATTGAAGAGTTCTTCAAACAACCTACACATGCACTGAAAAACTGATTGGAATGAAATTGGATTTTTTTTCAATCTACAATTTTTGATGCAATTGAAATTCTCATGCTGCTTTAAAATCTTGCTTTCCTTAAATCTCTTTGCAGGGATATATGGAAAGAAAAGTACAGTCATTGTGTACAACTAATCTCTAGTTTTCCAACTTAAATTGTTTGCCGTACCTACACTTTACAAAAAAAAGATGAATAATTCATGAACTTTTTTCTTTTCCTATCACCAGGTGACCGATATTCCAGAGTAGTGTTTACTTCCACCGGAGGAGAGACTTTATGGAACTTACATGCGATTAAATCAATGTGCAGTGTGGATAATTTGAGGGTAGGTAAAATAAAATCTTGTTAACACAGATTAGGTTATATTTTTTTAAACCCCTTATACTGCTGACCCTGATGTCTAATAAGAAGATGAAAGTACATAAATGGATTACCCTCTGTGGTGTAAACACTAGCAGGCCAGCACTAGCTCACTAGCAGCTTTGCATTCTTTCAGATCCAGGATCAAAGTGTCTCTGTATTCATTCACCTTCAAAAACATATCATCTCTTCTTTTAAGCAACAGCAATAAAAACAAAAAAAAAACTATCTTTTTTTCTGACTCATATTCTTTTGGTGGATCAATTTTTATTATTTCACAGCATATTTCCTTCCAGGATAATAGTCTATGGTTAAGGATGTTTTCCCCCCCTTTTGTTGCTTTTTCTTTCATTTTTCTCTTGGAGAAAAGAATTGACTTTCTTCATTGTCCTCAGTATTTTCCCCCAAGGCAGTTTGTCCGCATCTTAATTATGCCGTTAAGTGCCTGACTGTCTTGCAATCAATAGGTCATTTAGGCCTGTGACCTCAAAGGGAAATTTAGGGAGAAGGTTGGGGAGAGGGGGACATCAAAGGATGTAAATACAGTATCAATATAAATGGCTAAAGTAATCCAATCCAGATTGCACTGAGTTCTGTTTGTTGTTCCTTTAGAAAAAGGAAGGGTGTAAGAAGACAGACACTTCCCCCCTGACTTTATCCTCTCTAGAGCCAAAATGACAACTACAACTGAAAACATAAAGCCAGCCTCAGGGACTGGAATAGTTGCCAGTTTCATATATTCAAAAGTAATTTTTCCTAGTGAAAACTGCTGTCTTGTCCTATGTCAGCTAATGGACATGACAAGACATACAATATCCATGTAGAAAATGAACTCACTGTATTCTTATTATAACTCTAAACTCTTGAGTTATTACATGGTTGAAAAAAAATTAGTATGCTCCCAGATAAGACATCAATGAAATTTTTGTCCTGTAACTGGACTTATTTGGTAGAATTTAAATGTTTGAAGGGACTTTAAACAATGACCTAATCCAGTCTATTAATTTGCAGAAAAGACTGAGATGTAGTTAAGTGATCTGCCTAAAGTCATGCAGCCATTTAGTAATAGGACTTTTAACTCCTTAGTCCAAAGCTATTGGAGACAAGTAAGTGTCTCAGTGAATAGAGAGCTGGGCCTGGAGTCAGGGAGACTCATCTTCCTGAGTTCAAATCTGGCCTCAGACACTTACTAGCTGTGTGACCCTGGGCAAGTCATTTAACCCTGTTTGCCTCGGTTTCCTCATCTGTAAAATGAGCTGGAAAAGGAAACTACTATAGTATCTTTGCTGAGCAAACCCCAAATGAGGTCACGAAGAGTTGAACTGAACAACAATAACCACCACAACCAGAGCTATTTCAGATCCATTGTGCTTTCTGTTGAGACTGTTCATGATTTCCTGTGAAGAGCATCTGTTATCCATTCAGCTCTGAGCAGAATGATATCACAGAGCATCTTAGTAAACGTAGCCAGTGATTAGTATTTGGATGCTCGCTTCGCATCTTTTCTATAGCTATTCACTCATTCTTAACTGAGAATATTAAAACGCGTTACATTCGGTATCATACATACACGAGCTGTGTGACAAATCACTGCAAAGGATTCCACAAACGCGGTGTAAAACCCAGCTTCATTCTTCTACTGTCCCATCTCATATGAACCTGGTTCATTTGCACACTGGGTTCCTAAGTTGGTTCTCTATTCTATTGTTCTGGCTGTTTCTTCCAAAATATTTCTCAGTGTTAGATTCTTCTAAATGCCCCATCGAAGAAATAAAACGTTGGGTTCAATAAACTAAATGTGATAGGTGGTTTCCTTTCCATCCTAGCACTGCAACACTTTAAGATTAAATGCCCTCCCTAGAGTTATATAGCATGTCAACATGTGAAATGGCTAGAGTTCATTCTTTGTAGGTAAGTGTCAGGATCACTAACTTGGCCACAGAGTGGCTGTACATATACCTTACATCATCTCTCACCTCCTCCCTCACTTACTGAAAAAGTTGTCTACTTCTCTGCTACCTACTCATTCCTCATCTTCTTGCAGTTGGATTTCTACTACACCACCATACTGGAACTCTTCTCTAAAAGGTCACTGATGACTCCCTAATCACCAAATGTAATAGTAATTTTTTTTTCAGTTATCATCTTCCTTGAGTTCTCTGCAGTCTCTGAAATAGTACTAAAAAACTCTCCTTTCTTAGTTTCAGAGACACTACATTCTCTTGCTTCTCTTCTTCCTTTCTAACCACTTACTCCCAGTGTCCTTCACTGGCTCCCCATCTTCGTCCCAACCCCTTTGAATACCTACATGGGTGTTTCCCAGGATTCTGCCCTTGTCTTCTTCTCTTCTTTCTACGCTCAATTTCTTGGCGGAGCCTGGTGGAAGTCTGAGTTATTAGCGTGGTCTGGTGGAAAGAATGATGGACTTGGAAATGGAAAAAATCAGGATTTATAACCTGGCTTTGAGTCACTTAACCTCAGACATTTACTTAACAAGCTTCATTGTGATGAAAGCACTTTGTCAACCTCAATAAACTATTTAAATGTGAGCCTTTATTATCTCATTCATTCCCACAGCTTCAATTACCAATTCTGCCCATGTGCCCAAATCTATACCCAAGTTCTGGTTCTTTCCTTAAGACCCACAGCAGCACCTCCATCTGCTTGTAATACATTTCCACCTGCCCATCCTACCAGCACCTCAGACTTAACATATTCAAAACCAAATTCATCTTCCTCCCCAAAGACTTCACTAATTCTATCTCTAGCACTACAATTTACTGTGTCTCTTATGATTGTAACCATGAGGTTAGCTTCACCTGTGCCCTCTCCCTTACTTCTCATATCCAGTCAGTTATCAAACCCCATTAACTTCTACTTTTGAGAATACCTCTCACATATGGATTCTCCTTTAGTCCCATTGTCATCTGTCAAATATAGGCCATCCTTGTGATAGACCATTGGTCTGGACTAGTGAAATCACCTTCTTCCTACATCCATTTTCTTCTTCCAATATATCCTGTATGTCACTTCTAGAATAAGTTTATAATTGCAATATTCTGCATCACTCCTCTGCTCAAAATTCCTCAGTGGTTCTCCATTACCTACTGACTAAAGTTTAGATTTCTCTACTTGGTATTCAAGATGTTCTCCATTCTAATACCACCTTAGTTTTACAGCTTCATTTTGACTTACTCTCTTCCACTTATTAAAAATTTAGCCAAATTGGATCATTCTTTAACCTCTAAACAAACACTACATTTCTTCTGCCTTCATGCCTTTCAATTCTCTGTGCTTGAAATGCCCTCCTTTTCCCTCCAAACCTATTGACGTCCTACCCATTCTTTAAAGTTCAACTCATTTAGGACCTTCTCCACAAAGCCTTTCCTGGTCCCAGAGTTAGTAAGGACCTCTCCTCAGACTTCAGATAGAACTTTGTTAAGTCAGTTGTCAAGTAATGTCATGTGTAAGTTTTCTGTGTTGGTGTCCTACGCTCCTACTAGACAGTAAAGTCTCTGAGGACAAGGACTATGATTTATGAGCACTGAGCACAATGTAACACAATAAATGTTTGTTGTTGTGTTTGTATTAAAAATAATATATTATTTTATTAGGTAAACAAGTCTATATTAACTTTACCAATTTTCAAATGTCTCTATTTTCTAATGTCCTGTTGTACTGTTGTTTACATTTTGATCTCAGATTCTTTGATCAATGCCAGAATAGTAGGCCCTTTTCATAAAGCACATGCATGACAAAAAAGCTGTCTGAAAAATAGAATATGGTTAGAAAATTCAGATGATGGTGATGATAATGATAATACCTTATGGTCCCCTTGTACCAAGCCCCAAGGAGTTCAACTTTTTATAGGACTTTTGCTTGTTTATCGTAAGTGTGGTATGAGAAGACATTTGAATCCCTATAAGTATTTGGCAGGACTTTTTCTTTCTCCCTCTTCAAATCCTAGTTATTGTACTTATGCACTTGATTATTATCGAGTATCAAGTTGGATGTGATGCATGTAAAATTATAGAGAGTAGAATAGTTTAATTGCTGGTTGTTTGGCTCTGGGGAATGTCTGGTAATCAATGTAATATCTTGATGGGAACAGATGTTTTATTTGTTGCCTGTCTGCATTTGTGGCACATTTAATCCAACTCCAGCAGATTCCATTTAAATTACATGCTAGTTGTATTTGTAATGTAGGCAGACATTGATTTCCACAATGAATAGCTTCTCTGTTCCACATTCCATCTTAATGAGAATGCCCATTTTCTTAGACACTTTTAAAATGAGTTTCATTTGATGGCTTCCACCTCTTCTTTGATGCCCCAAAGAGACTATTGGCTGGTTGCATTTTAGTTACCAAAGTGTTTTTCTGCCTGACCTTTATTTTATGGGAGGGCATCAGCCTACTCTACTTATTTTGTGGGCATTTTAGAGACTGCAGTTCTAGACAATGAAGTGATCAAGAGAGCTGAGATCTTCTGTTCCAGACCCAGTTATTAGCTTGTTTACAAATCAGGGATGAGGGAGAGGTATCTGGCTTGAAGAACCACAAACACATGATTTCTTAACCATGACTAGGGGAAGACTGGAAGTGGGTAAAGAAAAGTAGTCCTGATTTTGTCTTCTCTCTCTAGATTTCACTTGAATTATTCAGAGGGAAATACAGCACCAGAGCAACTGTTTCCTAGGTGTGCCAGTCAGAGCACCATGTTGAGCATGGATGACCTTCTGTTAGAGATGCTATAGAAGGGATTCTTGAAAGAGTGGGAATTAGGTCTAGAAATCACTTACAACCCTAAAGCCTTTGTGACTTTAGCATGTATGTGCTGAAGGGGAAATTATCAGGTTCTGGCCCAGCTATCAAACTTGTATGTATTTTCTTTTATGGACAGGTTTTAGAAGTGTCATTCTTGCCAACCCTAGCAAAAACTGCCCAGGGAAGAAGTTGTGCCTTTGGTTAGTGTTTTGTTCCTACTCAAAACCCCATGATCAGTTGCTTAACTTTCTTTTTCTTCTTCTTCCTCCTCCTCCTCCTTCTCCTCTTCTTTCTTTTTATTTTTAATTTTCAACATTCACTTCCATAAGATTTTGAATTCTAAATTTTCTCCCTCTCCCCAAGATGGTGTGCAATCTGATATAGGCTCTACATATACATTCATTTTAAACATTTTCCCATTAGTCATGTTGTAAAGAAGAATTAGAACCAATGGGAAGAACCACAAGAAAGAAGAAACAAAAAAAAAAAGAGAGAGAACAAATAGTATGCTTCTATCTGCATTCAGACTCCATAGATCTTTTTCTGAATGTGGATCTCTTCCCTTTCTTCTTAATCACTCTTTTTAAATGCTTCCTAACTCTCTCCTGGCATATACCAGAAGGCTACCACATCTAAAAGTCAAGATACCATATGAAGCTTTGTTTCGTTCTTTTCATATCCCCTTCTTCCTCACCCCCCAATTTGAAGTCAACTCCACCCCTGGTACTATCTAACTAGGGAAGCTCTCTTGAGCATGTTATAACCACATAAACCCAATGACTTCCTTAAAATACCCTATTTTTGAATGACTAGAATTAAAGAAGCCTTGGTATTCCTAACATGAATTACAAGAAGTCATTCTTACTAACCACATTTTTATTTTTATAAGCTTCAAAGATTTTAAAATTATTCCTATGAATGCCTTTCCAAATATATAGTCCTGCCCTATGAAGATAGATGTTTGCCAAGCACATCATATATCTCCCTGAGCCCAGATACATGGGCAGTTTTCTTTCACCTGTCTTTAGTAACAAAGAGTCAACAGAGATGGTCTTACCAATGAATAGTCCAGATGACTATTCTTTTAATTCCGTATGTGAAGAGCTATGACATCTAGTTTAGTTGTCTAGAAATTCTTGTATTTTCTATACATGTAGAAACCCTGTACTTCAGGCATTTCCAAAGGATATTTTACCAAAGAATACACACCAGCCACACCTACCTCTAAATTTGAGGCCTGGAGCCATGGTGGATTACTGGCATTCATTGGGGACAGCCACAATCAGATTAGTGTTTGGTCTATGTTTATTACATCAGGTTTTTTAAAATCTTTTGTCACATGCACAAAGAAAACACTGTTATTTGGAAAGGTTATTCAAGGTTGGATTCCTGTTCTTATTTTCCAAGTTTTTGCTGGCAACCTTACTACTTTTATCTCTAGCAGTGGTTATTCTTAGCAACTAATTGTACATTCCTTGTAACTCATAGTGGATTGCAAAATGGCATAAAATTTCATCTTTTGTCAGCTTAAAACTGATTATCAGGCACTGATCACCCTATACTTTCCCAGTTCTCTGTAATGACCCTAGGGGACTTGCATATCATTTCCTTATAGGCTGAATTTGGATGTTTGCCATGAAAAATAGGCATATCCTTTTTCAAAGCTTCCTTTTCTTTATGAGGTAGCTTAGTTTTTCCTGAGTTGGCATGTATGGATGTTTTTTATCTGGAAACAATCAAACATGAATTATCCTGTTTTTGAGGAATTCCAGACCATTATACTTCAGAATTTCTAAGGATCCATGCTCTCATTTATGTGGGTACCCCTTCCAATGGTGCAGATCACCACCTATCTACATTTTCTCATCTTGTAACATGGACTTTTAGCCACATCTTCCTGTAAATGCTTAATAGAGGAGACACACTCAAGACTTTTCTCTAGCCCATTTCCATTTTCTGTTGTACATTTCTTGGATTATATCTTTGGTGCTACTTCTTGCACACAAGCCATGTTTGGTAATATCCTTCAGCCTGTTTATGCCCTCGCCATATATCTTTCCATTGCCCTTTGGGTTATCTACAATTTTGATCATTCGGAGATTGTGACGTTTCATGATTGACAGCTGTAAAACAACATTGGGATAAATACTTGTATTTGAAAGACTGGATTTTTGTTTCAGTGAACAGCCTGGAATCACTGTAAACTTTGTACAATTTTCCAGATGCACAGGCTTTTAAAATTGTTTTTTTTTAAGTTTTTATTGATATTTTCTGTTTTTTATATCACTATAGCTATCCCAGGTATTTCCTTCTTCCCCCTCCCAGAAAGTCATCCCATATGACAAATAGTATTTTTTAGAGAGGAAAAAAGAATCAGTACAACTCATACATATATTGAAAAAGTCTGAAAACATGCAGTGTCTAACACCTGTGGACCTCCCACCTCCATGAAGGAGTAGGTTTAAGGGTATCTTCTCATATCTCTTGAGTCCTGCTTGAGCTTTCTAATTTTGCTTTTGCTGTTTTCGTTTTTGTTTTTTGCTTTTGATTTTGTGTGTGTGTAGTTCTTTCCATTTTACTTATGTTGTTGTAGTTGTTGTGTATATTGTTTCCTTGGCTCTGATTACTTCATTCTATGTCGGTCATGCTTGTCTATATTCATCACACGCCTCATTTCTTACAGCATAGCAATATCCCATTACATTAATGTACCACAATTTATTTAGCCATTCCCCAATTAATGGGCATCTATTTTATTTCCAGTTCTAAGCTATCACAAGTGCTGCTATAAATATGATCTCACAGCTCCACCAACAATATATTAGTATGCCTATACTTCCACAATCTCTCCAATTTTTGCTGTTGCAATTTTTTGTTATTTTTGTCAAGTTTCAAGTTGTTTTGGTTTGCATTTCTCTTATTGTTTGTGACCTGGAGCATTCTTTCATGTGGTTATAAATACTTTGCAATTTTTTTAGAACTTTTTGTTCATATCTTTTGACTATCTATTGGGGAATGTTATTAGTCATACACACACACACACACACACACACACACACATATATATGCAAATTGTTTCTAAATCTTGGATACCAAATCTTTTTCAGAGAAATTTGATACAATGATTTTCTTCCCATTCAACCACTTCTTTTTTTAATCAAAATGCATTAATGTGGTCTGTATAGAAATTTTTCAGTTTGAAGTAATCAAAGTTATCTATTTTATCTTTTATAATTGCCTCTATCTCTTGTCTAGCTAATAATGCATCTCTTAGCCATAGCTTTGAGAGGTGTATGATCTACTCCTCTTCTAATTTTTTTCATAGTATGATCTTTGAAGTCCTGTATCAATTTAGAGTGAATCATAGAATATGGTATAAAATGTTGGTCTAAGGAAACCTTATTTCTGCCAGATTGCTTTCCAGTTCTCCTAGCAGATTTTATCAGATAAGGAGTTTTTTCCTTAGGTAATTTTTGTTTTCCACTTTATTGGGTTCTATTATTTCTGAATCTCCCTTGTCTAGCCTTTTCCATTGATCTGTCTGTTTATTCTTTAACCAGAGCCAGATGGTTTTGGGGAGTGTTGCTTTGTAATATAATGAGGTGTGGAAATACTATTCTCACCTTTATCCCTGTGTTTTTTCATCATTTCCCTTGATATTCTAGATCTTTTGTTTTTCCAAATGACTTTTGTTATTATTTTATCAAGTGCTGTAAAGTAAAATTAACTTTTTATTAAATTTTACTACATTTGAATCTTGACATGTTAGGGGTCACTTTTCATTACCTGCAATAGATCTTGTACAAAGCCAAGAATTATGCAATTACAAATAGCATGGTTCCTTGAATCCAAGTTCTCTGACTCTCAAGTCAGTGCTCTTTCCATTATACCACAATGCTCCCTTGCATTTAAAAAAAAAAATCTGTTTACTAAAAATGTTACTCATTTTAAATTGTCATATGGTATAAAACCAGATTATTGAAGATGATATAGCCTCATTCAAATCTCAATTCAAATTTTTGTAGAAGATGTAATTTGAGGTACTTGCTGCTGTTCTAAAATGTGTTGTTTTTGTTTTTTTTTAACTTCTCTCTGTGCAGATCAGATCCCATTCCCAGTTTGGTGATCTCTGCCAGAGAGCCACAGCTGCTTCCTGTTGCCCCAGCTGGACCCTGGGAAACTACATTGCCATACTTAACAATAGGTCATCCTGTCAAAAGATTGTCGAGAGAGATGTTTCACATACCTTGAAGCTGCTTCAAGCTTGTGCCAAACACTACTACAATGGCACCCTGAGGCCGGACTGCTGGGACATAGTGTCCCGGAGGAAGGATCAACTCAAATGTACCAGCGTGCCTCGTAAATGCACCAAGTACAACGCCGTTTACCAGATCCTCCACTACCTGGTAGACAAAGACTTTCTGAGCCCAAAGACAATTGACTACGTGGTGCCCGCCTTAAAGTACAGCATGCTCTTCTCGCCTACTGAAAAAGGGGAAAGCATGATGAACATTTACCTGGACAACTTTGAGAACTGGAACTCTTCTGACGGTGTGACCACTATCACAGGAATAGAGTTTGGTATCAAACACAGTTTGTTTCAGGATTATCTTTTAATGGATACCGTGTATCCTGCCATCGCCATCGTAATTGTGCTCTTAGTCATGTGCGTTTACACCAAGTCCATATTTATCACTCTGATGACCATGTTCGCCATAATTAGCTCTTTGATTGTGTCCTATTTTCTCTATAGAGTAGTATTTAACTTTGAGTTTTTCCCCTTCATGAATCTCACTGCACTCATCATATTGGTTGGGATTGGAGCAGACGATGCTTTTGTACTGTGTGATGTTTGGAATTACACCAAATTTGACAAACCCCATGCCGAAACCTCTGAGACGGTGAGCATCACGCTGCAGCATGCCGCGCTCTCCATGTTTGTCACCAGCTTCACCACGGCAGCCGCTTTTTACGCTAATTACGTCAGCAACATCACCGCTATCCGGTGCTTTGGAGTTTATGCCGGGACCGCCATTCTGGTGAATTACGTCCTCATGGTCACTTGGTTGCCGGCTGTGGTTGTGCTTCATGAGCGGTATCTCCTCAATATATTCACTTGCTTCAAGAAGCCTCAGCAGCAGATGTACAGCGACAAAAACTGCTGGATGGCAGCCATTTGCCAAAAGTGCCACAAAGTGATTTTTGCCATTTCCGAAGCCTCTCGGATTTTCTTTGAAAAAGTGCTACCGTGTATCGTCATCAAGTTCCGGTACGTTTGGCTCTTCTGGTTCCTTGCCTTAACTGTAGGCGGGGCGTATATCGTGTGCATTAATCCAAAGATGAAACTGCCCTCTCTCGAGCTGTCGGAATTCCAGGTGTTCAGATCTTCACACCCCTTCGAACGCTATGATGCGGAATACAAAAAGCTCTTCATGTTTGAACGTGTCCACCATGGAGAAGAGCTGCACATGCCCATCACAGTCATCTGGGGTGTGTCCCCTGAAGACAATGGAAATCCACTCAACCCCAAAAGTAAAGGGAAGTTGAAGCTGGATACCACTTTCAACATCACTAGCCCAGCTTCCCAGGTCTGGATTTTGCACTTCTGCCAGAAGCTGAGGAATCAGACTTTCTTTTACCAGACTGATGAGCAAGACTTCACCAGCTGCTTCATCGAGACATTCAAGCAGTGGATGGAGAACCAGGATTGCGACGAGCCTGCCCTTTACCCATGCTGCAGCCACTGGAGCTTTCCTTACAAGCAGGACATTTTTGAATTGTGTATCAAGAGAGCAATCATGGAGCTAGAAAGAAGCACTGGGTATCATCTGGACAGCAAGACCCCAGGGCCGAGGTTTGACATCAACGACACCATCAGGGCTGTAGTGCTGGAGTTCCAGAGTACCTACCTCTTCACGCTAGCCTATGAAAAGATGCATCAGTTCTATAAAGAAGTAGACTCGTGGATTTCCAATGAACTTAGTTCTGCTCCTGAAGGTCTTAGTAATGGTTGGTTTGTCAGCAACTTGGAATTCTATGACCTTCAAGATAGTCTCTCAGATGGCACGCTCATTGCCATGGGTCTTTCAGTAGCCGTTGCATTTAGCGTAATGCTCCTTACAACTTGGAATATAATAATAAGCCTTTATGCAATTGTTTCAATAGCCGGAACGATATTTGTCACTGTTGGCTCCCTGGTTCTCCTGGGCTGGGAGCTGAATGTCCTAGAATCTGTCACAATTTCAGTGGCTGTCGGTCTGTCCGTAGATTTTGCTGTCCATTATGGAGTTGCTTACCGGTTGGCACCAGACCCCGATCGAGAAGGAAAGGTGATATTCTCATTGAGTCGCATGGGCTCTGCAATCGCCATGGCCGCCCTGACCACCTTTGTAGCTGGCGCCATGATGATGCCCTCCACAGTTTTAGCGTATACTCAGCTTGGCACTTTTATGATGCTTATCATGTGTATCAGTTGGGCTTTCGCAACTTTCTTTTTCCAATGCATGTGCCGATGTCTTGGGCCCCAAGGCACCTTCGGCCAAATTCCTTTACCTAAAAAGTTTCAGTGCAGTGCCTTCTCTCACGCTTTGTCTCCAAGTCCAGGCAACAAGGGACAGAATAAAGCTCATGCCATGAATACATATCATTTGGATCCCAGAAGTCAAAAGTCTGAACTAGACCATGAATTTTACGAGTTAGAACCTCTGGCATCCCATAACTGTAACACCTCAGAGAAGACAGCTTATGAAGAAACCCACATTTGCTCTGAATTTTTCAATGGCCAAGCAAAGAACCTGGGTGTGCCTGTACATGCAGCCTACAACAGTGAACTCCACAAAAGCAGTAAAAATGGCACCAGTTCTGCTTTGTTGCAGCCCTCTGTGGAACACCACACCATGTGCCAGCTCTTCTCTCTGAACAGGAGGTGTAGCTGCCCACATGCCTATAAGCATTTGAGATACAGTCCTCACTCATGCCAGCAGTTGGGTGACTGTTTGTGCTTCCACTGCGCTCCTGCGGCAGGAAACTTTGTACAGGTCCAAAATAGCATGGCGCCCCTAAATGCTGTGCAACAAACTCCTGAAGGTTTTGTGCATCCCATCCAGCACATCCACCACTGTCCCTGCTTACAAGGAAGAGTAAAACGACCTGTAATGCAGAATTCTTTACCGAGAAATTTTTTTCTCCATTCAGTGCAACACATTCAGTCCCAAGAAAAAATCAGCAGTGCCAATGCACACAGCCTTCAGAGCATTGAAGAGAACATGAGCACTCTTCCAAAGACAGTAGACTCCTCACCGTTTATCTGCAGAAGCACAGGCTCTATAATAAAGTCATGTTGTGATCCCGAGAATACTGTGTTACCAAACCAAAGGGAACTCTGTAAAAATAGAGACGCTTGTGACCCACTAGGGAATTCTGAGGTCGGTGGAAATGAAAGCAAGGGCATTTGCTCAGTGAATCAGACCGACAAACCAGAGAGTAAGGGGGACCTGAGTTCACCACAGACTGGTCTAATTGTGAGCTCAGAACATTTAAACCAAAATGAACCAAAACTTATATTTAACAGTTTAAGGAGAGAGAGTGGTTATGTATCTCACCCTAGCAATTCCCAGTGTTGTGGCAGAGTTGTCAAGGTAAAGTGCCATTCTGTGGACTATCAGATGCCAAACATTGAAGCCAATGTGCCTGCTGTATTAACACACTCGGAACTTTCCAGTGAAAGTTTAATAAAAACACTATAATAAATATTAAGTTTAGAAAGTGTCTCAATCTTTCTTTTCAAGTGGAAATTCAGAATGGGCCTGAAAACACAGAAGTGAATATTTTAGCCTTGATTAACACTGAGTCATGGAACCAAATAGAAACATCGGTGAACCAAAAAACAAAATCTTGTAGGTATTGGGTGGAGTTTTGCCTTATTCTTTTTTTGAGAGTAAATGAGCCTTACTGAAAATTGTGTGCATTTTTCTCAGAAGATATTATGACTGTTATAAAATTATTTCTAATAAAGTAGTTTTTGCAACTTACAAGTTTGATCCCCGGCTACAGCCAGGGATAAAAGAGAAATGTCCTATCCACCATCTTTGCCCAGAACTCAAGAGCCTCTCTTTCCTCAGGGATCCTAGATCCCATAGTTTCTGTTCTATTGGGCAGTCATATTTCCGACCCAATTCAGATCCTGGACTTTTGCTTAAAATCAACAGCAGTTGAGCATAAATGGTTTTTTCCTATCTGTGCACAAAGGTATAAGAGTGACTTAGGTTTTAATAGTCAATGTAGAGATAGTCCCAGCAGTAATTCCACAATGCCTTTTGGGGCTGAGCAGTGAGAAAACACGATATTATTGGTAAAGCCACATTCAAAGATTAATAGATAATCTCAGGCATTTAAGGGAGGCAAGCAAAGGAAGATCCTATTGTAAATGTTCCAGAGATTATTACTATGTTCAGTACAAGTTCATGCTCAAATTGATATCTTCTCAGTGTTAGTGGGCATCCATATTTGTCTTTCTCATTCAGTTATTAAATTGGTTGGCAAAGCAGCCACAAGTAATATTCAATTGAACCATCATTTTAACACCCAGAAAGATAAAGTGTCTAACAGGTCAAAGAATATTAGTGAAAATCTGATGTTGGAAGGTTGACTCATCCAAACCAGCATTAAACTATCTAAGGTGAGTAAAGGGTTGATGCAGGTCTACTAGCATTTGTTTTCCACGTGGTAGAATGAATATTGGGTCTCCGAAGTATCCCCGTGTGGGGTGTTTTATTCTCTGGAAAGGTCCATTTTTATCTTTTGTTCCTGAGAAGATTTTCCAGTGACTCATTTCTTTTGTTATTTGGTAGATTAAATTGTCAGTGTTTGAAGACATTGTGAACATTGTTCTACTATGCTGTAAGGACCTAGAATTGTACTCTTTCTTGCCAAGAGAGATCTGAGGCTGAGGTTTCAGGCAGCATTTTAATTGACACTAGCATATCTAATGTTGGATCAGTGTATAGGAGTTGAGTTGTTGGAGCCTGCCTTCTGGGTAGTAGTTCAAACAACACATCAGATAAAACAGGATGTCATCTGATACTTAGTGCATTATAACCTCATACAGGGAGACAGATCTCAGCCGCCTTCTATTATCTTGTATGTATTTTGGGTTTTTGTTTTTTAAATGAAAGACTTGGGTATCAAATTGAGTCCTCTGATCTTTGGAATACTCCCTACAAAAGAGTTTATTTTCTAAAAAGCATAATATCAATTATTCCACTAGAATGCATACAAATTAGTCCTGCCCATCATCCCAGGCCCTGAAACCAGCCTATGGTGAGTAAACACTAATAGGAACAGAGAGCAGGCGCCACAGTCCTAATGGTAGATTTTCCCTCTGACACATCTTACTCTAATGAGGATTGGTAAAAATCCAAGCATGCACAGCACTTTTATTGCTCTTTTGTTTCAACTGGCCTGGATTTTTTTTTTAAACAAAGTAACAAAAAACTCAATGGTTCTTCCATTATACTAGATGGTATATTACTCATCATTTGACTGTGTTTTTCTTAATTTCCTAAGTTGAAAAGAATATGAGGGGCATCCATATGTGGATGCTGAGGTAGGTTATGGTCTTTGGACCCTAAATATAGCTTAAATAATGTGGTTTTCATCCTTCGTGTATCATTCCTCTCTTCAGTCATTCAGAGAGGCTTTGAGAGACCCTGGGGACCAGTGGAAGAAAAAAATATTATTTAAAAAGCCAAGTATAATTTTCATTTCACTACTTATCTATGGTGTGGCCTTGAATAAGTCACTAAATCTGTTGCTTCTTTTTCCCCTATACAATGGCCAGTCATATTAACTATTTCCTTTTTCCCTCCAGGTTTCTTTTGTACGCCTGTGTTGGTTGATACTAAGAAAGCTTTTTGAACTCAGTTTGAGTCTGGGGCCATACAGAGATAAGGCATCATTATTTTCAGTTCAGTGCCACAATGGAATTTAGACTTGTCTTCTAGGAGTGACTTGGCCAGCAGATGAATGGTTTAGTTGCATTTTGGGAAAAGTGCCCTTTTTCTTCTTGATAAACTAGGCTTGTAACTTGGAATGTATCTGATTTGGAGAAAGAGTTAAATACTGTTTGTATTCCTAAAAGCAGAGAGATAGAAAGCCTCTCTGTGGTAAACAGGCTAGAAGTCATGTGTGCATAGCGTATTTAAACACTTTCTCTGCTCTGCTAAACAGCACATCATATTTACCTAACCTGGTTTTTCCTTCGGTGATTATGGCCATGTTACCAAACTAGTTCTTGATTTTTCCTGCCAAGCCACTTACTTAATTTATACTTGGTTGAACAAGTGGATTATTCTGAAAGCAATGAGCTTTTTCCCTCCAGGGAAGAATAGCTGTATTGTTTAAAGGGTAAACTACACATCTTCACATGTGTATGTTCATTTCCTCTATGTAATTACTGTAAAAATACACATACTTATAATACAATAGAGCCTTTAAGACTATGCTAAGCTGCTATTAAATAATTCTTTTCAATAATCTGCCATGCCTAGGCCTCAGTCATTACAACTTTTTTTTTTAAAAGAATAACCTAAAAAGCAGTTCTATAAATGTAAGTGGTGTGGGAAGACTAGAAAACATTCCTAGTAGGCATTGTCCCAAATGTAAAACAGCTCTTATGTTCTGTCCACATTGAGAACCTGTATTTTCAAGGGAGATGGGAAAACTCAGACTGTTGGACTTAGCTAAACTAGTTGAATTTAACAAAGGCAATCAACCTAGAATGGGAACATGAACTTGACATAAAGTCCAGAATTGAATCTAAAGACTCAATTTTAAATGCTTTCACAAATAATAAGAAATGAAAATCTGATAAGTCCATAAGGACTTATTTCAATTATATTCAAAATGTGTGGCAGTACCGTTACTGCATTCAGATTCACTGCTTGAGATTTTTTCACCTTATTATAAAATGTATTTAGCTGACATTCAAATTTCAGTGCTTTATTTCCAGTGATTTTTGTGTCAAGCCAGAATATTGCTATACAATGGCCATCCTGTGGAGCATGTGTGGCGATATACCCGGGCCCTGGCCACTTCTTGGGACACATACTCAGTGCTAAAGGACTTGGTATTTAGAGTGACACAGCTTTGAAATCACTGCAGGGGAGAAGAGGAAAGAGGTGCAGAGGTATTTCCCAGGGTCCCAATCAGTATTCCTGTTACCCCAAAATGCCAACGTTTCAGTGCTGAACACTTGTCCCCAGAGATAGTTAGGGCCCAGGTCTATCTATGCATGCTCCATAGGTTGGCCACTGTCAACATTTTAAAAATACTCATTGTCATTCAACAAACCAGTATCTATTAAATGTCTACTAGGTACAAGACACCACCAAGGTACTATGTAATCCCTGACAGAAGAGTATTCAGAATCATTCTAATTAGAACCATTCTAATTCTAATGGGGAAATGAAGGGACATTAACTATAATATTATTTAAACTATGATAAATGCATAGGGGAGGAGTCAAATATATGTGCTGGGGGGGTGGGGCTGGGGCTTCTGAGCTAGGGCTTAAAGGAATAGAAGAATTTCAGTATAAGGAGTTCTAATCAGGAACTTAACTCAGGGAGTATATAAATCTTTGGGATTTGCATTTATATGCTCAATATATACATTTTGTTACACATATTTAATTAAATATGATTAAGTACTAACTATGAGCATAAAACTACTAGATACTTGGAAAGATACAAAGCATGGAGTCCCTCTAATAGAGCTTACAGTTTTGTAAGGGGATAAGACATATACAGTAGCAGAGAACTGGTAGGTTTCGTTAATACTTCTGTCACCTGTCTAATGTTTATGCTTTTTATGACCTTGACTCATCAAAAGGGTGATTTTTTAAAACCAATCAAAACCATCCTGGGTAATGAAACTAAAAACAAGCATTAACTAATACTTTTGTAGGTCCAAACCATGCTGTTACATGTGCATAGTCACTAAAAATAAAGATGACATTCTACAAGTCTGCTGATTATTGATGAATATGAATTAGGTGTATCTACCTCCTTTTTAAGGTTTGTCAAAATTATGACCATCTTTCTTTAAGCAAATATGATCAGAAAGAATGAAATCTTTCACAAGAAGGCAGTGCCCAAGGGTGAGCCCTGTCTGGTGCTGTCAGTGCAGTGAGATGCTACTTTTAGGTAGAACTCTGACCTTGTATTTTTCCTTTTGAATCAGGGGTGTGGGGGGTGGTAGAGACGGTAGACAAAGTGGCCCTGTGTTAACCTGCCCACTAGCCTGTAAGGAATTTTCCCTTTAAAAAAAAAAACAAAAACAAACGAGCTCTATGATCTCTGACTACATTTATGCCTTCCTGCTTAAAATGTACAAAGGGTAGAGATGAGAATTCAATTCAACAGACTTTTTATAAGTCTTCCATTTGCAAGGCACCAACGCTCTTCCCTTGAGGGCAGAATGCAAAGCTGACTAACGCAGATCTCTGCCCTCAAATATCTTGTAGTCTAATACAGGTAAAATAAGACCTGTACACAAATAGCTACAGTGTAAAATACAGCATAAAAGTGCATGAGAGGTACAAGACGCTATGGAGAGTCCCCTGGAGGGGAGATGATGGGCCATGCTTTCTACTCCCAAATTCATTGCCCTAGTACAGGCCCTGATCCTTCACTCACTCCCCTCCACACATATCTGCACACACCCTACATCTCCTTATTCCATGTATTTGTATGGGC